CCTCCGAACGGCCGGTGACTTGCTACCACATATTAAAGCTGTTCCAGTCACCTGTCGTGGACGGTGAGCTGACCTCCTCCACAACGATGGATACCAAAAAGGGTCTGGTATCAGAATCTTATGAGGAAATCGTTTTCCAGGAGCCCACACAGATAATGCAGCATTATCTCTTGCTCTCGGAACAAAGTGCCAATGGATTGCTCAACCATGACACAGATTGTAAATATAAAACTGACTTAAATTGAACTCACTCTCTTAATGTCCCTTACCCATTTCAGTTGAGGAAAAGAAAGAAAAAACGCTGGACAACATTGTTAACGTGAAGCAAAAGGTTAAGGGCGAGATCGTGTCTCTGAAGGATAAACTGAAATTGGCTCGAGAAACTATTGTTAAATTCAAAGCAGAGTTAGCTAAAGTCCAGAAGCCACCAGCCTAGTGCACAATTTTGTAAATTCTTAATTAAGAAATATTTATTTTAAGTGAATCTAATAAAGTAAGCTGTAGAATACATTTGAGTTTATTTGCATTGTTACTAATCGCTATGCAGTACTTTTTTCAGAATTTTCTACAATGCGTTGCAACAGCTGTATTGTTTTCTTGAGAAAGTATGTTTGGGTATTATACAAATGTATATTGACTACCTAAATCATACAATTTTTATAGTATTACAATTATTGCTGTGTTGCATGCAGGTTCTGTCAGTGTAAAAAGAGGATAAATATGGTTAATTTTGTAAGGTATGCAAGCTAAGGTAATAATAATAACCCCACACTTTCGCTGTAAAGAGTTGTAGGTAAGTGCATTCTATCAGTTCCAGCTGGGTATCTTACCCTCACACACACACACACACGCAAGCATCCACATGCACTTACCCATACATGCTAAATGAACCAACTGGTTCAGTCAAAGATTTTAGTTTAGCTGAATGAACCAGTACACTTGAACTGGCGTCGCAGTCGCGTTTGCAGCATCCAATTTCGATGGCATGAAATAAAATGTTATTGTTTATTTATACAAGTTGTTAAGTGTATATTCATGTCGGTAACTTGTAAACGAAGAATTAACACAATTCCCTGTTAACAGTTAACGAGCATATAATGAGCGAACGTCCAGCTGTATAAAGTTAAAAAAGACAAAACCAGCTTCAACCTCTGCGCAAACGCGTCGGCTAGTTTAAGTCGAGAACCGAACAAAAGGAAGGCAACACCTTAAGCAGGTAAGCATGCGCATTACCTGTTGCCTACATCCAGCATATCTAATATGTTGTATAAAGGTATTGTTTTTGTCATTTTGGATCTAAAGTCGTAAAACTTGCACAGCTTTGGCATTGTAATTAGTTTTACCTTTTGCAGCAGTGCTCCCAAATGTCGCTGACGCGACGCTTCAGTTTGACGCTGCTGCTGCTACCGCTGCTGACGTCGTTGCTTGCAGCAATTCCGGTTTTACAGGCCAACTCGTCGCCTTCGCCTGCGCCGTCGCCTGGGCCAGGCGTGCGAATACTGCGCGCGCCTGAATCCACAGTGGCGCCACCTGGCGATGAGGTGGTGTTTGTGTGCGAGACCAGTTTGCCGCCGGAGTATTTCGAATGGAGCTACGCATCGAGTCGCAGCCATCCGCCACGCTTTAAATATTTAAAATCGAGCAGCGCCAAAGCCAATTCTAATATAACTATTACACACGATAATGACATATCCAAGCTGCGCGTCATTGTGCGCCCCGAGACCTTGGGCGAGTATCGTTGTGTGGCCTGGTTTGGACCACTGGCCGTCACATCCACCACAGCGCGTCTGGAGGTGGCCAGCATAAATGGAGATGGCGCCGAAATTGGCCAGCGGGCGCATTGGCGTGTTGCGGCCGGCAACACTGTGCTCTGGCACTGTGGCCAGGTGGCATCCAATCCGGCGCCCAGCTGGAGCTTCTACTACAATGACAACGAGATGCCACCTGCTTCTACGCTCAGCGATTCCAATGGCACGCTGCTGCTGCCGCATGTTTCCGCGGCGAGCAGCGGCAGCTACAGCTGCGTGGCCACCAATACCGCCTCTGGTGTGCGCCTGGCGTTGCCCAGCCGCTTGGAACTGCAAGTGCCGGCTGCAGCGTTGGCCAGCACAGCGCCAGCACTGCTCAATGGACAACGTGTACGCACTCAGGTGTTCGCCAAGGCAGGCGAAACAGTGCTGTTGCTGTGTCCGGGCGTGGGATATCCGCCGCCGACTGCTGTCTGGAGTAGCCCCAATGTGCCCGGCGCTGTCTACAATAACCGGACGCGTGTGCTGCCCTATGGACTGCAGATAAGTGGACTGCAGTCACTAGATGCGGGCACCTATATATGCTATCTGGACAATGGCATACGGCCCGCTCTGGAGCACTTCATTGAGCTGGTGGTGCAGAAAGCGCCGCGCATCGTGCGCCCGCCCAGTGCCAATCTGACCAACGAGGGTGAACGCATGCAGCTGGAGTGTGAAGCCACGGGAATGCCAACGCCAGAGATCTACTGGCTGCTCAATGGCGAAAGTAGCGTCTACGATGCCGAAGCGGAGCAGCTGCCCAATGGGCACCTAATCCTGCACAGCGTGCAAAAGCGACATGCCGGCTATGTGCAGTGCTTTGCAAGAAATACGCTCGGCGAGCACAGCGCCGGCACACTGCTTCAGGTCAATCCCAAACAGTTACCGGACGGCGAGGGCACCGGCTTGGACTCGGGCAGGTCGTCTGCTCGACCCACGCACAGCCGTAAACAGAAGCAACAGACGCAAATGATGCCGCCGTCGGCGCCAAATGTCACGCGGCTCTCAGACGAGTCCGTCATGCTGCGCTGGCATGTGGTGCGCAACGAGGGCTTGCCCATACAGTTCTTCAAGGTGCAATATCGGATGCTCACGGAGGGCGGCAAACGCAAGAGCTGGCAGACGACCAATGAAAATATACCCTATGGAAGGCAGCGGCATGAATCGGGCGCGGGTGTTCGGAATTTTACGTCATCGGTGACGGGCCTCAAACCGAATAGCAGCTATCGTTTCCGCATCATGGCCGTTTACTCCAACAATGACAACAAGGAGAGCAACACCTCCGGCAAGTTCTTTTTGCAGCGCGGCGCTGCACTGGCGCCGTTGGCCGTGCCGGAGCTGGTGGACATTGAGGAGTACTCGCAAACGGCCGTTGTGCTGCACTGGCGTCTATCCAGCGATGCGGACGAGCAGTTGATATCCGGCTACTATGCCTACTATCGGCCCTCGGCCTCCGCTGGCGAGTATCTGAAGGCCACCATCGATGGCGCCAAGTCGCGCAGCTTTCAAATCTCAGCTCTGGAGCCGGGCACCATATACGAATTCAAGCTGCAATCGTTTAGCGCGGTGGCCGCCTCCGAGTTTAGTGCCTTAAAACAGGGACGCACACAGCGGCCCAGGGCCAGTAGCACACCGCAACCGGTGGTGCATGCCGTGGATACGACCACGCCCAGCCATAACGAGACATTCAACATGAATCCCATGCTCACGGGCACCATTGGCGGCGGCGCCTTGCTGGTGCTGCTCGTGATCAGCGCCTGCCTATGCTTGTGCCGGCGTCGTAGCTCGCGCGGCAACAATCCGCAGCACAAGCCGCGCCTAGCCGAGCTGCGTGAGGACTTTGTGCCACTGAACACGTGCTCGCCGAATAAGCCACGCACACGACATATACACATAACGCTGAACCCACTGGCGCAACAGCAGCAGCAGCAGCTGCAGCAGCAGCACGACGAGAAGGAGGCACAGGACAACGATATGGGCTACTTCCAACGGCAGCCGGTTGTCTACGATGCGGAAACGTTGGGCTTCAACGGACTCGCGCGTATGTCATCCTCCTCGCTCCGGCGCTCGCAGCGCACGCTGGAACGTGCAGCTGCCGGTGGCGGCTCTGGCGGCAACAATAATAATCTTAACCAGCCTGGGGATAATTCGCTGGCCAACTCTGCGGACAGTCCTCGTCTGCAGGCAGCCAATAAGCCGGGACGTGTCATTCTTAAGCGCGCCCGCTTGTCCAGTCGCTCGGAGAATCTCTCGTCGGGCAGCCTAAACAGCGTGGGCGTCTAACTCGTGATCTTTAGTCTATATTCATATATATATATACATACATATATATATCTGGATGTATGCTATTCCTCTACCTCTGTTTTAAATCTTTTTAAACTTCAAATGACATCTACTTAAACAGTTTGTACTTGTGTATACAAATGCTGTAGCTCTTAAGTACTTAATTAGTTTTCTACAATTTATTATATATGTATTACATATATATATATATATATATATATGGAGCGTGATTAGCTCGCATGTGCATTTTTATAGTCTAGTTTATAGACATACGCATAACATAGTTAGTCTTCCACATCTTGATATAAGTTGAAATTCTGTACTGATAGCTTCATAGTTTTATACAAAAAATTAAATGACAATAAAATTTGCTAACTTTCCGAAAAAAAACATAGTCTTATAATTGGTCTATAAAAATAATTTAATCAAATGTGTATGCACATAAATTATGCATTCTTAACAAGCCTAAGCTTCGGCCGACTGGCAAGGCGTTTGCAAAACCTGCTTATGGAATATATGTAGATAAAAACAGACCGTGTGGTATTTGCAAAAGGTATGCAAACAACCTGATCACATTTTCCAAGTGGTTTTTGGCTTATTTAATAATATAAAAATTTCAAGACGGTAGCTTTATGGCTCAGAGTTACATTTCTCACTCCTCAAACATTTATCCGTAATCTTTGCATACATTTGTTTTACTTATTTTGACAGCTGTTCGTCTGTTCGCCTACGAAATGCGTGTTTATGATTTTGATAAGCCCAGTTTATAGGTTTGAAAACAGCTTCTTGGATGTGCCTGCTATTTATACGCGTATTACCTATTTATGTTGCATGTAAGTCACAGTTTGAATTCAAATTTCTTAACGATAGACAACGGATAAGTTATCGGTCGATAACATAAAATGCGTTTCTGTGTGGAAAAATGATGGCAACCTTCTCAGCTGTCAGCTGTCAAACCACCTAAAATAATTGGGTCGAACCAAAATTTCTAATAGTAACATTTTAGGTGGTTTTTCTTATTTGTAAAATTCAAATGGTTTGCAATTAGTGTAAAGCGCAGCAGAATAAACAGATCCCAGGTCCCCCTAAGTTTATTGCGTAAGTTGAAGCACGCAACAAAAAACACAAATCAAGGCTATAGCTGTTCATTGTTACAGTTTGCGAGGCCTGGTGCGAACAAAAGGAACGAGAATTGGGAATCTTGAGAGGAAGTTAAAGTTCGGAAAGAGGATCGGCAACATGTCGAACCTATCAGTGGGACAGATGATAATGGATGCACAGCGCATGGCCAGTCGCGTCAAGGATTTGGATGCACTGGGCACAGCTCTGCTGGAAGAGGCAGAGACCAATAATCGCCTAGTGGAGAGCTTGCGGCAATACCAGGAGGATATTGAATCACTGAATCGCGTGGCGAATAATAAAACGAATGTGGATATGGTGAATCGCATACAGCAACAGAATGTCAACAGCTCTGAGATACTTAAAGAGAATCGCGAGCTGAAGATCTGCATTGAAGACTACGAGCGGGCCATGGAACTGATGATGCAGAAGTACCGCGAACACACAGTGACGAAGGTCCTGGACAGCAAATTTAATTTTAAGGAGCTGTACAACGAACGCCTGTGGCAGGTGATACGCGAACAGCGCGAAAAGATCAACGAAATGGCGGCGGTCATGCATCGGGCGGCCACTGCGGATGATGAGAATGTGCAGCGGGAACTGCAGACAATATCACAGCTGCGCATGGAGAATGAAACGCTGCGCGAACTTTTGCAAATCTCCAAGCAGTTCGGCTCAGCGCAGCGGCCAATACGCGAAGGCGATCACCTGCTTGAGGAGAAGGCGGTGCAAACGGACAGCCAGGCGGATGATTCTGCGGACGATCTGTCCATATCTGGTGCTTCGGTGGAGAACATGAACAACAATTCTGTCATACAGATGTACAGCAGCCCCGAGGCCGCTAGCAGCACCAGCAATACCAGTAACAATTCAGCAAACACTGCCTCAGTAAACGCGCCCAGCGCTGCTCAGCCAACCAACACAGCTGTAGATGCTGCAGCTGCAGTTGCTGTGGCTACTGTGGAAAACACAAACGCCAATGAGAACAACAACGGTCCTGCTGCTCTCAGCACGCCAGAGACGCCAGGCAAGGCGGCAACGACGACGACGACGACGCCCAACGACGGTGAGGAGGAGCACACGCTGCCCGTTGTGGGCGCAGTTGCAATTGGTGCCAACGCAACATGATAGGTGCTGATACAGCAATGTCTGGATTGCATTGTCGTCATTGTCATCTCCAGTCAATCATTGTTAATTTGTAATCGCTAAGCAGCACATCTTTGATTTCCGGCGAAACGCATTCATCTAATTAACAACAAACACACACACACACTCATCCAATCATATATACACCCATACATTATATGGTTACTCTGCATTAGTTCATAGCGACTAATAATCTCTAAGTAATTTATACATACATACAAACATACATACAAGTCTCATCAAGATCTAATACACACTCACACTCTATAATCCATGTTATACTATGTCGACTTATGATTTCTTAATAAATACCATAATAGAAACTTTTAATTGAATTGTGATTTGATACGATTTTTATCAATGCGAGCGAATAATTGAATGGAAAATTGTTTGATTCATGCGGTCATGTGTACTTGTAGCTTTACCCTTTTAATTGCATTAGGCTTTTAACAAATTATAATAAATTGACTAATAGAATCTTAATGTGTGCAGCCACTCACCAGATAATAAACAATAATAAACAATGAACCAAACTAAAGAACCTAGTTTAACAATTACTTTACAAACTTATTCTTAAATCTAGCATATTAGTAGACTAACTAACTAATACATGTAATTTGTTATTATGCATGTTTTAGCTTAATTAGCTCAGGGCTCTTGGTTCTAGCTATGAACTTATGCAGCATTGTTGGGAGTGTGTGTGACAATAAATATAATATAATAAATATTAAAGTGCTTAAAAATTAATTCAGACAATAAAGGATTTGACTTTATATTCCTAAATTTATTCACACAAAATATATATAATTATAGTTATTGTAATTCATTTATGATATGGTCACTTATATTGGAATAATGATATGGTATATTTATATATATTATATATTATAAAGTCGACTTTAAGATTTGAATTCGAAATCGAACTCTAATTATTTATCTGCCTAAACTGAACGCAGTCCCAGTTAATCTTAAAAAGTACAATCTATAATTTGTCAGCTTTTCAGAAAATTGAGTTCAGAACAGGGTATCGTTCGTCAGTTAAACTCTTTGTTCAAAAACAAGACCAATGTGAGTGAGAGTGAGAGATTGAGGAGCATGGGCTATGGTCGAATCGCGTGCAATCTGCGTGGCTAGTTTGAGCTTTTTGAATTTATTTAAATTTAGTTTCTCGTCGATTTTCAAAACGTTCGCAACGTAAAAAAGACACGGAAAATCGCGTCAGCCCGGAAAAACGGAAAAACGGCTTGCCCGTGCAATTGGTGGGAAAGAGATGCAGCGATCTGTATAAGTATATTTCGAGTGCTCGGGCGATCGATGTTATATCAAAAAAATTAAAGCATATGTATGTATATATAGCTGCATATATATCTATGTATGTATATGTGCGTCAAGTGAAAATTTCAATTTGGAAAAAAGTTGCTCGCTGTGAAAATTCGAAATTCTGTAATAGAAAAGTAAACAAATATTATTTTATATGCTATTGCTGTGGCAAAAATTATTAAAAGATAAGTTTTTCGAAAAGTTTGCATTTGAGAATTTAGTATGGGATATATTGAAAGTGCGCTGCCATTTACGAAAATTGTGTTCTATTTTTAAAACACAGCTAATTTTTCAGCCGTCAATTTGTATAAAGTGAATATTCCAAAAGTGAAACAAACAAAACGTGAACAAAAAAAAAAAGAAAAAGTGAAGCCAGCTCAAAATCGAAATGCTGAAAGTGCATTTTTAAATAAATATATTTTTTAAGTATACCATATGTGCAATTTAAAGGAAATCGACAAACTAAAACCTGTTACGCAATTAACCATTTGGTAAATGAAAAGTTGCGCACAGTTTGCGTCCGCCTCGCAGAGATCAGGAGCAGATGCAGCAGCTGCCGCGTGGCCCCGTTCCCACTTGCCCAGCTTCAAATTCATCTAAATGCGGAATCTTTTTGTGTAAGTCGAATGCAGCCAAATTAAATATACATGTCTATGTATTATATAGTTGGGCTAAAACGTTGATAATTATTTTTAACGTGCTAGGGATTTGCAATGTTGTCCCCCTTTCAAAGAGAGCAAGAGCCCAGGGCGCACGCTCAACGCAGACTATCAAAGAGAATCTTCCAATTATCACTCGAAATTTTCGAATTGTTTTTTTATTTCGTCTTTCTATTATTTTAATTGCCGGAAAACATGCGCAGACTTAGGATCTCTGCCTGCGCGTTGCCCACCTGTGGAGAGCGCGATCGTTTCTCTTCTCTGCTCTCGCTCGCTCTGGCTCTCTCGCGCGCGCTCTCTCTCTCTCTCTCTCGCTTCCACTGGCGCCTGTGAGAATCTAAAAATATATGTAAAATAAGTGTAAACATTTGCTATTGTTTATATTTACAAATAAACTCATGCTTATCTATATAAGCAATGCAGCAAGTCCTCCATCTTTCTTGATCAGGTGTTTATTAAATATTGACTATTTCAATCGATTTAATTGTTGAGTTTTTTCAAAGTAGCTCGTAAATTTAACTAATTCACTTTTAATTAGCTTGAAATATGTGCAATTTTAGATTATTTAAGTGTCGAAAAAGAGGTGAGATTTGTTTTTTTTTTTAATCCTCCATTTTTTTTAAATGTATTTTTCGTGTACTTTATTTATTGAGTTATGTATATAGTATGCCCCATTATATCTGGTATTTCATCTTTTCTGGAAGATTAACTTTTTTGGAAAACGAGCTTAAGGCCGTGCCTGTTGATTTACAGGCAATTACTAGACATACTAAATCGTTCAAGGTTTATTGATCTTGATGTCACTATAAATACTCAAGTATTACGTTTAAGATCTTTTTGGTTTACAGAATTACGGAATAGTAAATAGATGCGAACATCTCTTTTTGCCACAAAATGTTCTACATTTCATGTACAACATTCTTCAGTTCGCTTGGATCAATGCCAAAATTCCACTTCGTTGTCTTAAATGAAAACGTTTAAATTTAGTTGATGCCCTGCATATAAAGTGCATAGCATTAATATAACTATTTTTGGCAGATTAGTGCAGTAAATTTAGAATTTATCTACGTAATATTTAATACAAATAGTACTTGTTTCATATAGAATTGATTTTGTCTTTAATTGGAAGTTTATTACTAATTATTATCATAAGCAGGCGAAAATTACGTTTCCAAGACAATTTTCTAAGAATTTTAAAGTCTGACGTTTCCATTTAGAATAATTCAAATCAAGGAAATAAAGATATCACATACATAAGAAGGACTTTAATCGAAATATAATTAAAATGAGTTGCAGCCAACTTAACGTTTAATAAAAAGCTTATTATAAGTTTGCAAAATCGTTGACAAATAAGAATATTGTATTAAAATTTAATAAAATATGAATAAACATATTTTGATTATTTACATGATTAATATATAATTAAGAAAATAAGTAAATAAATTTGTTTGCATATTTCTTGAACTTGCAGAAAAGGCAAAGCTGACTATTTATATAAGAACAGATGCATCATCTGTACCCATCGCTGAAAGGCGATCAGCTCTGCCCGCTCGGCTTCCATCCCCAGACACGTTATCCAACAAGATGTAAACGTTGTTTTCGCGATTATAAGGAGCATGGAGCCCGACGAGGAGGCGACGATGTGGCCGCATCCTCGCCAAATCTTTCAGATGCCCAAAGCTCGCGGTAGACCGAAACCTGCGCAGGATTACCTTATCCCTATAATCATTTATATTATTATATTTTATTTTTCTATAGGCCCTCCTCGCGCACATGGACTTCGACCCAGAATTTAACCAGCGCGAATTTAAACAGCAGCAATGATATAGGTATGACTTATAGGGTTTACCTGGTAATTTCTTCCAATAATTCCTGGTTCAGTATTAATTCATAGAGTACTTGCTGGAAAGTAACTATAATGAAAATATGTTGAATTAAAACAATAACTAGTAAACACTTTGAATGCTCTTAACTATGACTAGAGTTAATTTCTACTATCAAATAATCAAATTTATAATCTTTACATTTATTATATGTCTAGTATTATTTGTCTAGTCGCAGTTCTGTAACTTAGTAGCGTTTATCAAAAGCAAACACACATGTTATACTAAAATAATAATTATATTTATGTTATATGTTATAAAGTTTAAATTAAAAGAAAGTTTTATAATAGTAATTTTAGAGTGAGAAACAAGCACAAATTTTTTTGCATACTTTGAACTGTGCACAAATATCAACATCACATCACAATTTTAAGTCCATAATAAGATCCATAATAGGATCAAAAATATTATACATTTTTACTTTAAATTTTTGAAACACCTTACAAAAAGTAACGATTTTTTTTTAAAGAATTTATTTATTTTAATAGTTAATGTAAGGTGTAGATTGGTTTTTGTAACTATCCCTATACTATACATATTATATGGAACTAGTCTTAGTATTTGGTATTCCAGTTACTGCATAGACAGAAATATCATGGCAGTTTGTAGTTGAAAAACCATAAAAACGTTGTACAACTTAGTTTAAATAAATACCCATGCAGAAGGTATTAGAATTTCGATAAATGTGATAAATGTGAGGTGATTCTCTTTTGCGAAAGATTCGAATATACTCTATGTTTAATTCAACAAAAAAGTTCAAAGTTATTCTTAGTAATAAACTAAACTTTAAATCAAATCTGAGTATCCACTCTCACTATCCATGTCTGTAATTCTTATTAAAACTAGCTAACCATCTTTAAGGCAATACAAAATGTGTACCACATTTGTGTCGAAAAAAGTTTCCATCTAACCTCAAACTTAAATCGTATAAATTAAAAGATTTATCGTTAGAAAGCTCTCTCTTCTATTTCGTCAGATCCAATTTGATTTAAAAAATATTAATTTCTCTAAATGTAATATATTTGTCTGCAAGGGTATTGAATCTTTGGCACGCCGAAGATAACTGTTTCTTGTTTTCTTTACGTATTTCTCTCACTGTTTTAACTGAACTTTTGCACTGAACAACTGTACTGTTTTGTGTGCTCGTACCACTCTCTATCTTTCTCTTTCGTGCTCTGTCTCACACTCAACACTAATCTGCATAACGTTTGTTAACACTATTTTGTACTACTTACCATCGTGTGTGTGCTGTGCTGTTGCGCCGATGTTATCCAATTTTACCGCACTGTTATGTAACATATAACGGCACATTTGGTTGGCCAACGCTCATTCATTTGACACGGGCTTGTGGACACCATCGCCAACGCCGAATATATATGCAAAAAAAAACTGTGACTGTGAACGTGACTGTGATTGCGACCAATTGATGGCCAATTTGCTGCTTGCATTTGCATTCGCTGCACTTGAC